ACATGCAAAAGGGTTCATGATGTTATTTTATTGTGTTCATTCTGTTTAGCATACTATTTATGTGTGGCATATTACTTCATGGTATGTTTACCATGTCATTTTTCCCAAGCATGGGATATTGTACATGTACGTCTATCATGCAGCATCATTGTTGAGTACTTATGTTATGACAATTATCAAACATTTCATCCAGGGCAAGCCTAGCTCTACTTAGGTAGGATTACTCTGTTCTTTACACAGGTGCTAGCGAACATAGCTCATATAGGCAAACCTACGTTGCCCTCAACCTTCATGAATCAGGTGCTAGTGAGCATGTCTCACAGTGGACATAGCTCATATATTTGCCTTGCCCTCAGCCTTCATGTATCAGGTGCTAGTGAGCATGTTTCATATAAGCAAGTTTTACTTGATCTCAGCCTGTTGCTCATCCAATTCCACAGAGTTAAATTCTATCCTATTGAGTCATAATTTGAGTCTTCTTTTTTGATGCTGCTGATAAATACTTAGATCACTTTGTGTAAAAAATTACATAGCTGCATGAGCCCTATAGGCAAGATTTAAAGTTAGATTAATAAAGATGAAACTTGATAACTTTGTTGTTTTTGGGTAATAAACTGCTGACTTAGCGCTGTGTTTTGGGTCTTTTTGTGGTCGCATCTTAGATTGCTTTTAAATCTTAACCTGAGTTCACTTTTATATATTTACTACAATGACCTGTCAATTAGAAACCCAATTTGAATAAATTAATTAGACTGTAATGCAATAAATAATTTCTTGTTTTTGTCCTTATACAGTTTTCTAAATTCAGAGAATTTACACTTAGTACATGTACCTGCCCTTGATTGATTATTAATATGTATGTATGAGAGGCAGAGCTAACATTTCGTAAGAATGAATCCAAAATTAGACTGGGTGAATAACAATGACATGCATGAAAAAAATATGAGATCTCTATTTTTCATCTTCCCATTTGTCCAGTACAGCACAAGTACATTAGATACAAAGGCTTAAAACGTATGAGTCCATCCATATAAGGAAAGAATATTTTAAATGGATGGATAACTATTGAACATGACGGAATTTTGTATTCACTAAATTACCTGAGGAAAGTTATCATGTGGTGAATTATAAGATTCAACTCGTCACAGCCCTTGGTTACAACTTATAAAGCAAGTGTAAGAAGAAGCAGTTTTTACTCTTTTAAACCATGAGTGCATGTTTGTCTATTAATCTCCTTTGAACAAAACATATAACTAATACAAATATACAACTTCTGTTACAAGAAAAACAATAGACAAACATGCGCCGACTATGTATAAAGTCAGTAAAAAAAGTGGGCATCCTCATTATGGTACAGAGATTGAAGAACTTGTGATGACCCCCGCCTTAGAAAACAGATTTGTACAACATTAATAAATACTTTTATTTATTGTAATTAGAGTTGTAGATTAGATGTTGATCATTCCTGCAAATAAAAGAAAAATGACTGTTTTGGAAGTTTATTTTCATGCAAATTTCACAGATCCTTAAGTGCAGTCATCCTTTGCATAAATGATACATCAAGGGATGAACAAATTAATCTAAAACAGACACCTCAGATGCTTGCAGATTAGAATTATATTTTTTCTTGATGGGTCGCAGCCTTAAGTTTTAAGTTTTTGGAAGTACGTCGATCTATTCCCAAGCATTTGCAAGCCCTATTAGATCAAAATTGCATTTTTGCATTTTGGGATGTAAACTTCTAGAGACTAGTATTATTTAATTGTGGGACTTTGCATTACATAAAGACAACTAAATTCTTTGAGGTGAATTCTGTAATCTCTGATTACCTATGTTTTCATTTCCTTCCCAATTCTCTAAAAATAGTTTTCTTTGTTCATTTGTTTGCTTGCCTTTATTTCACTTTTAATTCCTTCTTCTCAATTTCCCAGGACTTCATTATGAAGTTGGAGTAATAAGGACTTGGAGAAGGAAGGGCAGAATAGCATGCCAACAACGCTGGAGTGGAGGTATTGCTAAGTCGTTAAGGAAAAGCAGAGGTGAGAACATTTCATTATCATTTTCGCACTCTTACTAATAAGTACTAACATTTCCTTCCCCTCCCCCACCCTCAACACATTTTTTGTAGTAGTTCTTTCCTTTTGATTTTTTTGTTCTGTTTTTTTTTTTTCTTTGTCTAATCTTCTCTGTTCTCTCTTTGCCGGGATGTCATGGTTGGAGTTGGATAAGGCTGGCACTTCGTCGTTGGAGATGTGGAATAAGGATTTGGAGGCAGCTGGATCTTCATCGTTCGAGGACTTAAGAGGAGGCTGGGCATCTTGGATTGGAATAGCATGCCAACAACGCTGGAGTGGAGGTATATTATTTGCTTAGTCGTTAAGGAAAAGCATAGGTGAGAACGTTTCATTATCATTTTTGCACTCTTACTAATTAGTACTAACATTTCTTCCCCTCCCCCACTCTCAACACATTTATTGTAGTAGTTCTTTTCTTTTGTTTTTTGTTTTTTCTTTTGTTCTGTTGTTTTCTCTTTGCCTAATCTTCTCTGTTCTCTCTTTGCCAGGATGTTATGGTTGGAGTTGGATAAGGCTGGCACTTCGTCGTTGGAGATGTGGAATAAGGATTTGGAGGCAGCTGGATCTTCATCGTTCGAGGACTTAAGAGGAGGCAGGGCATCTTGGATTGGAACAGCATGCCAACAACGCTGGAGTGGAGGTATTGCTTAGTCGTTAAGGAAAAGCAGAGGTGAGAATGTTTCATTATCATTTTTGCACTCTTAGTAATTATTACTAACATTTCCTTCCCCTCCCCCACCCTCAACACAGTTATTGTAGTAGTTCTTTCCATTTGAATTTTTTGTTCTGTTGTTTTTTTTTCTTTGTCTAATCTTCTCTGTTCTCTCTTTGCCGGGATGTCATTGTTGGAGTCGGATAAGGCTGGCACTTCGCCATTGGAGAGGGTGGAAGAAGGATTAAGGCGCTGGCTATTCATCATTGGAGGACGTAGAGGAGGCAGGGCATCTTGGATTGGAACAGCATGCCAACAACGCTGGAGTGGAGGTATTGCTTAGTCGTTAAGGAAAAGCAGAGGTGAGAATGTTTCATTATCATTTTTGCACTCTTACTAATTAGTACTAACATTTCTCTCTCCCCCCCTCCTTCAACACATTTTTTGTAGTAGTTCTTCCCTTTTTTTATTTTGTTCTGTTGTTTTTTTTCTTTGTCTAATCTTCTCTATTCTCTCTTTCCCGGGATGTCATCGTTGGAGTTCAATAAGGCTGGCAATTTGTCGTTGGAGAGGATGGAAGAAGGATTAAGGCACTGGCTTTTCATCGTTGGAGGACTTAAGAGGAGGCTGGGCATCTTGGATTGGAACAGCATGCCAACAACGCTGGATTGGAGGTTTTTTTGTGTTTCTTTGATGTTAGGTCTCTTTGTTATTTTAGTTCTTTTTGTTTTTTATTTTGTTTCGTTTGTTAGTTTTTCTTGTTATTTGTTCATGAGGTTTTTATTCTTGTTATTTGCTTATTAGGTTGTTATAATTATAGTTTTTTGTTTATGAGGTTTGTAAAAGTTGTTAATTTTCATGTTTTATTCATTAATTGTTGAATTATGTTTTTAATGGGTTTTTTTAGTTATTTTTTATTTGTATGAATTTTTATTTATAGTTGACATTGTTATGAGTTTAAGTTATTTGTTATTGTGGCAGTTATGAGTTTTAGTTGTTAGGAGCTTAAGATATTGATTTTGTTGTGATTTTTAATTATTTGTTATTGCTATGAGTGTTAGTTAGTTGTTATTGTTAAGTTTTAAGTTTTAATTAGTTGTTATGAGTTAAGTTATTTGTTATAATTATAAGTTTTATTTATTTGCTTTAGTTGAGATTTTTTAGTCATTTTTTATAGTTATGAGTTTTTGTTAATAATTATTGTTATGAGCTTTATTTGTTATTGCATTTCTTATTCCTAAGAAATTGTCTAATGTTCATTATGTTGCGTTGTGCATTAGACAAGTTGGATATTGAGGAAACAGTGTGTTTCACCCAAAGCACCTGTCTTAATGTCAAGGCCTTATTACAGTAAAACTCGGTTATTACGAAGTCGCTGGGACATATGACATTACTTCGCTATATCCATAATTTGTTATATCCGTGTAATGATTTCATAAATATTTATATAGCTATAGGGATTCAAGATAACTTCGCTATATCTGTGTTTTTACCAAACGAGTTTTACTGTATCTATTATTTCAGCTCTATTTTAAAATTTTTGTTAGTATTTTATAGTTGGACAATTCACTAAAGATGAAGAGGAATATTTAGCCAAATTCTAAACCATCATCAATAAGGTAAGATAAAAAAATATTGAATTGGTCATAATTGAAAAATTTATAGAAAACTGAAATGAAGTATTATTGTTAGATTATAGATTTATAATGTTCCATTTCAAATCAATGATATTCATAGTAATCACCTTTATACAGCAGAGATCTTTCTTAGGTGGTCATTTTATTTTTTCCCAATGAAATATCCTATAAAACTTTATTAAGTGGTCACCTTTATTAATTATGCGATCATTTTAAACAAATTAAAGACCAAAAATTAAGGAGCAGAATAAAAGTTTCGTATATCTTATGAAATGAAGGAGATGAAATCTTAGTTGAAAGGGACTGACTAGGGTATTTTAGTGTAAAATACATGCAGTGAAATAAAGTTGTTGATATATTTAGCTGATGCACCCTACTGACCTTGGTGGAAACAGCAGATACACTCCACTTGACTTAATGGATACAGCAGAAGCACTCCACTTGACTTCGTGGAAACAGCAGATGCATCCAACAGGACATGGTGGAAACAGCAGATGTACCCTACTGGCCATGGTGGAGACAGCAAATGTACCCAACTGGACATTGTGGAAACAGCAGATGCACCCAACTGGACTTGGTGGATACAGAAGATGGACCTAACAGAACATGGTGGATGCATTTGGAGGAGACTTGCCTGACCTTCCAAACAAGACATATCAGAGGAGATAAATGACACTGATCAGGTACATGTAAATGACATAATAGTGATTCAAGATCATCTAATGAACCATGTCAAATTTACTAGCTGACTTTTTATTTTTAGCCTGGCTTATTTTTAGCTCCACTGGTCAGAGATAAAAAAAGCTTATGATAGTAAACAAGGACATGGCATGGTGGAAACAGCTGGAGGAGGCAGAGCCAATGAATGCTAATCTTTCAAGATGTGGAAATAGCAGATGTCCTCAATAAGACATGTAACAGCAGATGTACCCAACTGGACACTGATTGATAGAAACAACTGGATGATGCGTAGCCAGTACATGCTGATCTACCAAGATGTGGAAACAGCTAATGCACCCAACAATACATTGTGAAAACAGTAGATGAACCCAAAAGAACCTGATAGAAACAACTGGAGGATGAATAGCCAAAGGATGCTGATCTGACATTTATCAGGTATGTGAAATTATCATAATCTAAGATCATTTTATTAACAAAGTCATATTCACTAGCTGGTCTTATATCTTAAAGTCAGCAATAGCTGACTTTTGTTATGGTGTTCAGCAAGATAAACCAACTCTTTACACCAATATTGAATTTTTGCTTAATAATTTAAACCATGTGTTAAACCACTGTTGAGACAACGTAACAATTGTTTTAAAAAGTTAAATGAGGAATTTGCTAAAAAAAACTTCAATGATGTATTTTCTCCATTTATTTTCTTCTGACTCTTACTGCAGCTGCAGCCAACATGTAGAACTTTGTGGAAACACCGGAATAGACATGCAAGCTTGTTGAACCTCTTTTAAGATGGGAAAACAGCAAATATATATACCTCCAAAAGGACTTACTGAAATAAATCTTGAGGAGGCAAGGCCATTATGAATCTTGAGGCAAACTTAATGGACAATGATTTTCCAATATGTGAAAATACCACGGCAGCTATACACTCAAAAGGAATTGGTGGAAATATATAATTAACACAGACAAGCCTGATAGACAATGATCTTCAAATTGTGAAAACATTAGATGTTAATTCCCAACAAGATTGCATGGTGGAAACACCTGGAGGATAATGCCTGATGGATGTTGACTTTTCTACCAAGACATACCACAGTGGATAGCTGACACTGATCAGGTTTATGACATTATCATATTCCAAGTCATCATATTGTTTCTATTATTAAGGTCAAGTTAACTACATGTACATGTAGTAGCCCAAATTTTTAGTCCAGGACTCTTTTATGTAGTCAGCAATATATGTAGCTTACTGGCTTTTGTAATGGTGTTCAGCCAAATATGCTGACTCTTAATTCATACGAATATTAAGATTTTGCCTAAAAACTTATATACCTGTATAGTATACTCTAAACCATCCCTGATACATTTTTCTCGAACACTTGTTCAAACATACTGTAGAAGTCCTCTTTCAAAATTTTTAATTTCATGGCCTTTGGTTTAAAACATAAATCAAATTCAATTGTTGGAATGTTGTTATGAGATACTCAGGTGACCTATAAGGCTGTGGGCCTCTTTTTTTAGCTCTACTGGTCAGAGACCAGAAGAGCTTATGCGATAGTAATGCGTCCGGCGTCCGTCCGTCTGTCTGTCTAGCTGTCCGTCTGTCTGTAAACAATTTTTCAAAATGCTACTCCTCCTACAGTTTTGGTCTAATTTCAATATAACTTGGCACACAAGTAGACTACACTAAGATACATAAATCTGTGTATCGGTTTTTGATTTCGATGAACGGTGTTGCCGTGGTTACTAAAAATAGAAATTTCTATGAAATTCTTTCAAAATGCTACTTCTCCTACAGTTTTAATCTGATTTCAGTATAACTTGGCACACAAGTAGAATACACTAAGATACATAAATCTGTTTATCGGTTTTTGATTTCGATGAACGGTGTTGCCGTGGTTACTAAAAATAGAAATTTCTATGAAATTTCAAAAATGCTACTCCTCCCACAGTTTTGGTCTGATTCAATATAGTGGACTACACTAAGATACATAATTCTGTGCATCGGTTTTTGATTTCGATGAACGGTGTTGCCATGGTTACCAAAAATAGAAATTTCTGTGAAATTCTTTCAAAATGCTACTCCTCCAACAGTTTTGGTCTGATTTCAGTATAACTTGGCACACAAGTAGAATACACTAAGATACATAAATCTGTGTATCGGTTTTTGATTTCGATGAACGGTGTTGCCGTGGTTACTAAAAATAGAAATATCTGTAAAATTGTTTCAAAATGCTACTCCTCCCACAGTTTTGGTCTGATTTCAATATAACTTGGCACACAAATAGACTACACTAAGAACATAAAGAGACTTTATCAACGATCATTATTCTATTTTTTGCTGTTGTAAAGTTTCAAATCCCAGCTGCTTAAGTACTTTTCTCTTCCTTTGCTATAAGTTCAAACAGTAGAGCTTCAGTCTCGACAGAGACTTCTGGTTTGAATTCAAACCTGACATTTAATTACCTCTTGCCTATTGTTCATTTGCAGAAAATCAAAGAAACCTTTAGAAGGAACAACCTTGAGATCATGTGTGTGGATGAAGAAGCAGGACTTAATTAATGCAGGATTAAATCTACATCTTCAAATCAGCTGATGTAAATGCATTCTAGTAACAAACTTACAATGTTTTTTTTTCAAAGACTGCTTTTAAAAAATAAGTATTTTTGTAAAGGGTGTCCGAATTATGTTAGGGTATGGGGTCCCCCATTCGGACACGTGGGTTCTCTACGGGTACTCCGTCTTCCTCCCACACTGACCCCTCACTTTTATGCCAATGAGATAATAGTTCACTATTGTAATTGTTTTAATGAAGTTAAATATGTTCCAGATGTATAATGATTGTTTAAATGATAGGATTTTTAAAAACAATTTTGGAGGAGAAATGTATTTAAACTCCCAAAAGAGTCTAAGAATTGTATTAACAAAATTTAGAACTTGTGTAATGTACCACAAACTTCCAGTCGAATCTGGTAGATGGACTAATACTGATAGATCTTTAAGATTATGTAATTTATGTAGCAAAAATACTTTGGATGATGAATTTCATTATGTAATGGAATGTCCATATTTTTCGTCTTTACGGGTAAAACTTATTGATTAAGAAGTATTGTTATCATGTAAATACTTATAAATTTGAGAAAATTATGTCCATCACAAATGTTTACTTGCTGTTAAAACTGTCTTTGTTTACTAAAAAGATATTGGGCTGCTTTCTGTAACTATCTTCTAATTTGACACTACTCTTACTTACTTGACTTTGTATATATGTAGATATGTTCCTGTACCTCATATACCATTGTATGGTCTGAGTGTAAATAAACAAACATTAAATATGACATAAGTATATTCAAAGAATGTGTAAATTCTGCCATCTGTTGTAGAAAGAATGATTTGTATATTCACTTTTTTGTTATTAGCTTATTGTGAAATTGAATGCCCTATGTACTGATGTGACTAAATATGCAGTGAAAGAAATGAATATATAAAATTGTAAAATTGCATTTGAAAACATAAAATAGTGAATTGCCTCTATAATGTTAAATTGTGATTTTTAAATATTAATTTGTGATTTGTTAATGTTAAATCAATTAATGATATAAAATGTTAAATTGTGATTATTTTAATGCAATTGTGAATTGTTGATGTGAAATTGTGAATTGTAGTGTGAAATTTTGAATTGGAAATGTGAAATTATTTTAATCTCATTGGCGAGTTTTGTGCAAAAAAATCAAAGACATAAAAAAAGAAAAAAAAAAAGAAAGAAAAAAAGAATAAAAAACAAAAATGAAAAAAAAAGATGAAAAAAAGAAAAATAAAAAGCAGAAAAAAAAGAAAGAAAGGAAGAATAAAGAAAAAAGAAAAAAGAAAAAAAACAGAAAAGAAAAAAGTGAGAGAGAAAGAAAAAAAACTGAAAAAAGCACAAAACTTTTAATGCTGCCTGCTTGAATTAACATGTTATTTCAAGCAGAAGGTTCCAAGCCCTTTAAAGCAGAGGAGAAGTTTTGGTGTTTAAATGTACATTACTGAATGTACTTTGAAGCTTTGCAGTGCTTATTTAATGTAACACTCAACTGATCAAACTTTTTTAAAAATCATTGTAAAATATCAGTTCATCCGGTTTGTACAATGCAACATTTATCTCATCAAATAATTTCTAGCAATTGTAATGTTATCTTCAATAATCTTGCAGTGTTTTGCTGAAATGAATGCAAAATTATTCTTTTCATGTGCAACTTAATTTTTGCTTTCTTGGAATGAATATTAACACCTTTGAGTTGATGCCAACAAGTTTTAAAAAAAACTTTTATTCTCATATTCAAACTGGTTTTAGTTGTTATTTTCCACAGTAATTTTAACAAGAGGCCCAGGGGCCACAGCACTCACTTGAGCACATCAACTTGGAAAAAGCACATATCAAATCAGAACTGAGTTTACTGAGGAGAAAGGGTTGGGGGGTGGGGGGGGGGCTTGAACTACCATTATGATTCCATATAAATATACTAATCATGGATTTGAAGTACTTGAAAAGAAGATTTTAAAAGGTTTCCGTATATATTCCTATGTATAACTTTGGTCGGCAATTTTAGCCCCACCCTAACCCCGGGGGTCATAATTTGAACAAATTTGAATCTACACTACCTAAGGATAATTCCACATGAGTTTCATCTTTCCTGGCCCAGTGGTTCTTGAGAACAAGATTTGAAAAGATTTTTTCCTATATTTACGTATATAAAACTTTAATCGGCCATTTTGGTCCCACCCTACAGCTACCCCTGGGGGTCATGATTTGAACAAACTTGAATCTACACTGAAGATGCTGCCATATAAATACATGTATGATCATTCATGGCTTTGTTATTTTTGAGAAGAAGATTTTTAATGACTTTATCTATACATTTCTATGTAAAACTTTGGTCGGCCATTTTGGCCCCGCCCTACCCCTGGGGGTCATGATTTGAACAAACTTGAATCTACACTACCTGAGGATGATTCCACATAAGTTTCATCTTTCATGGCCCAGTGGTTCTTGAGAAGAAGATTTTTTTTTAATGCCATTAATTTTTCACTAATTCATAATTATCTCCCCTTTGAAGAAGGCTTGGCCCTTCATTTGAACAAACTTGAATCCCCTTCACTCGAGAATACTTTGTGGCAAGTTTGGTTGAAATTGGCCCAGTGGTTCTTGAGAAGAAGATGAAAATAAGAAAAGTTTACGACAACGATGACAGACGACGGTCAAATTTTGATCAGAATAGCTCACTTGAGCCTTCGGCTCAGGTGAGCTAAAAAGGGGACATAGATTTGGAGTTCATATTTTCTGTACATTTCAAATACATGTTTCATAACTTACATGTTACTATAGCATTTCCCATAAAATATCATTTTAGAATTTGTTCATACATAGGGCATGCTCTTTCGTATCGAATCAACTGTATATTAACTTGGTATACAGCTGACGTAGGTACCAATATGGAAGTTGGCGATTGTAAAGTTAAAATCACCACGATTATCATACAGCTTGGTTGTAGATTACCATTAAGGTCTTTTTCAAGCAAAATATCCAAATATGAAACAGATGTGTCTGACTTATAATGTGGTATCTTTTATCTCAAGCTCACCAGAATACAGCAAAACTCATTTAGTACGAACATGGATATTGCAAACTTACAGATATAGCGAATTTATCTTGGATCCCCAGCTACATAAATTTAGAGAATTTCTTATACGGAAATAAAGAATTATGGATATAGCAAAGTAATTTCACAGGTCCTAGTGACTTCGTTATAACCCGAGTTTTACTGTATATCGTATCAACATAAAAATTTAAATTACAATTGTTAATTGACAATACGTCGTCGATATA